GCCGAAATGTTACTCCATTAGCTTATTTAATCATCTGTAAAAGCGAGTGGGACGAAGTGATACTGTTTTTCTAAGAAATTTGAGTTTGGCCGAAATGTTACTGGGCCGAAGTGTTACTACATCATAACTTCAACCAACAACTCCACTTGTGTCTTGGTCCGGTGCCAGCTATTCAATGAAACCTCTGGATAACTCGTTTAGAGCCAAGTTATGAATGAAACTGTTGAGTTCATTTATACATTGTTGTTTGGTTAGCATAAACAATATTATTTATGCTGCGGAAAAGTGCATACTAAACCGTTGGTAGAACTGTAATGTGTGTAACATAGAAATCTTTTGACATAGTTAGAGAAGAATGGAGATGATTCAAAAGCTTGTTAAGCTTGTGACAAATGAACGTGTTTAAATGTTACTGAAATATTTACTGCAAGATGATTTGGTTAAAAAAGAAACTGCTATTGACACAATATAGCGTTTTACCAAATTTAGAAAAACAAGTCTTTTCGGTGCTTTTGTCACATTATTGAATTAGATACCAAAGTATCAATCCATTTATCTAAATGGCAAGGTCATAAAATATTATGAAAGTGAACATAACATTCATAATATTTTGTGAGCTTGCCAATTAACATTAACACTGTTAGATTAAACATAATATTACTTTAAGTGAACATAACATAAACTAATATTATGTTTAATCTTACATTATTTTTTTCTTTCTTTCGTACCATAATGGTTGATGACAAAAAGGTGTTGTAATGGCAATAAGTTCCTCTTCCTGGTGATTAAAAGTTGTTAAACTAGAAAGAAAATTGTTATTCATAATAGCATTCTCTGTCTGTGGCTTTAATACTTTTTTCATTCTAAAAATGGCAAAATCTAAACATTGGATTTTCTAAATTATGATAGTGGCAAAGATAAAATAAATTAAAAGTCAGTGGATAATTCTTTATTTGAAGTTTAAATTTGTGATGGTTATTCAAGTGCTACCGATACACGATTACAAAAAAAATTGTTTCGAGTTGATTTGGGATCTTGGATCTGATCCCGTTTTGAGGTTAAAATGCCTAAAACAAACAAAGTAGTGCACAAACCGGACTGAGTGAGAAGTTTTTAATATTCTCCGGCTTTGGCTTGGAATTTATACTAATTTTTCTACAGGTATTTTCTCACCTGAGGACGGGATCGAATTTCAGATCCCAAAACGTCATGAAACTTTACTAATTGCGATAAAATACTTTCAATAATAAAATAACAAATCCTCCTCAAATGACATAGCTAAATTGATACAAACGCAAATAGAGTTTGCAATACGAGATATGCAAGTGCCTGCATTCTAGCGGCCCACTCTCAAAACAAAGCTGTGTTGCGTGTACAGCGTGTGAACTGAAGGCGCCAAATTGAGGTTATCTTTGAAGCAACAATCAACACAGATTTGTCTTCTTTTTAACTTTCCCAATCTAAGTCTAAACTTTCCGAAGTTGTTATCAGTTCTCACCAGGTGGTAAACCAATCGTTTGAAACGGAAAATCAATGAAACTGCTTATTTAAACTTTTAAATTAAACTTAGTTGCAATTTTGTTTCTATCCTAATTTAATTGCAAAAAGTATGTAATAATTTCCCGGCAGTACGCAAACTACTAAGACTTTGTTGATGATTTATATAATTTTAAATTTAGTTTTTGTTACATTAAGCTAATAATGTTTTTGTTGCTGGCCTGCGAGAGGCTCAGGTCGTCAAATTAACCAATGGCATATTATTATCCACGTCATAACAACAAACATATTTTGGTTTGTACATTTTTTTCAAACATTTGGTATTCTTTCTAAATAAATTTTATTGTCCTTGAGACTAACAATTTTACTTGGATTTGTGACATTTGACCAGATTCACTATTAAATATACGAAAACGCGTTGAAAAAACTATTGACACTTAACTATGTTAAAACGTTTAAAGCTAATTTACAAAAATCGTTTTAAAGCATATAATTTGCTACTTAACATTCACAAATTTGAAAACGTCGAATAAATTCCAACTAGATTCGTCGATGACGTCAGATCACCTGATCGGTATCAGCTGATTACATAAACAGCTGTAAGGTCGACAGCTGATCCGTCTGTCACCTTCACCCACTGGCGACCAACCCACTGTCAAGACGTTTTATTGCTTTATTTACATACTGTGAATGAAGTTGTCAACCTTCTGCGCCTCTCCTTTTTCAACGAAAACGAATTATACAATGACATTCTTTGCTTTCTGCCATTGACTTTGGAAACTGCAAGTAGGCTGACTATAATTAATTGTGAAATCTGAAGCATGAAAAGTGTTTTATATCCGGTTTTTTTATTGCACGGAAGTAGGTTCAATGTCAAAAGTCCTGTATTAATCAAATCATAAGAATTATTATATTATCATGTTTAATCGACTTATGCGTATAACCAACGATATATAACTTCGTCTTAGCGGTATTTAAATCTAATTTAAAATCTGAATAGGAAAAAAAATTGGCATTGCGATTTTATCATCTCTGCGGTTTTACACATATTCAAGACGTCTAGAAGGTGACATCCCATCTTTTTGGATCAGCTGTAGCAAATTTGTCATTCAAATAGATTGAACACTGCTGGATAAGCCAACAACCATAAAATATAGTAGATTTCCCATCCGATGTAAAAATTTGAAACAAAAAATGTGGTACAATCTGTGGAGATGGTCTACCAACTAATGACAATATTCCGTGTCATGTGATAAATCAATCAGCTGTTTGCATGGATTTTGATTAATATTCAACCAAATACACTAGTGCCCTCTGGTGAGGTAGTCTTGTATGTAATATATTTTCTTGGATTTTTACATTGTATGGGAACTCTACTCTGTGTATAGTCAATACTATAACAAAATTAGAATTTAATAACGAAAAGAATACTCTCTTAGCTTACCGATAATATTTTGATAGTTAATGTGACATACAATAGAATACAAAGTTTTAATTTGTGTTTTCCTCGATGAATACGACAGAAATCAGTAACATCATTTACAAATGTATACAAGTTTAACAAATGTGTGAATCTCTTTTATACTTCATAATCAAAAGGTAGGACTTGAGGTAAATCTATACTTGAGCTTGGTAGAGGTTGAAAATGAAGTGAAAATCACAACAATGCTTCAAAAATACTTTGTTAGGAGTCACTCTATTAGGTAACTCTGTTTCTGTTAACATTTAAATTCTGCGCTCGCTGACTCCAACTTGTGAAGGTTTCCGAGTTAACATCTCGTTCACGTAAACAGTTTCATGGTAATGACACGGAAATATGCACAAGACATCTCAACTCACAACCACCTTGAACTAAATACAACTACTTGCTTGTGGCCTGAAAACATTTCTGGAAACGAGCAATTTGGTGTATAATAAAATGGTTAGACCAAAATTATGTTTCAACTAATCGACTGAGTCTAGTAGGTGTAAAAATACGCACTTAGGAATATGTAAATAACTAGCTGTAACCCGCGGGCTTTGCCCCGTTTAACTTCTTAATTTTCAAGATTATCTCGTTCGCATGGCTCAATCACGTCCTGGTTGGAGCTCGTTCGCTGCGCTCACTTGCCTTCAGGTTAGCTCGTTCGCTACGCTAACTCGCCTCCAGGTTTAAGTTCGTTCGCTACGCTCACTCACCTTTTGGTTGCAAATTAGCTGTTGTCATAAATGTAAAAGAAATAATAGTGCTGCACCCTGTTGGTAATCCTTGTAACTTTAATGCTATTGAACATCATAGAACAGAACCAACTTGTTTAGTTGAAACAGCTGTTAAGATTCAAATAATTCTATTTCTCATAAGGTTAACATGGGAAACTCCAGAGCCACTGGGGCGGAGCCCGAAAGGATTTTTGAAATAAGAATATGCCTATATGTTAATCGGGAATGTGAGCTATCATCATGCCAAATTTCAGCCCAATCCGACCAGTATTTTTCGCGTTCACTTGTCACAAACATACATCCATACATCCATACATCCATATATCCAAACTTTCTCATTTATAATATTAGTAGGATTTAAAGTATCGTATGGCTGGATAAAACTAAAAGTTAAATCGACGAAAAACATATTTTTTTTAGGGATGACTAATTTTGTAACAGAGTCAACAACTGTTATTTAAGTTCACAAAAAAATAGTGACAAATAAACATTGATTCGACAACACTGAATAAAATGTTCGTCATACTTTTCATCTCAGAATTAATCTTATGAAAATTATAGTGATTATACATACGAAATGGAAATTGTAGAACTCCATAATCTCACCTGAAAACAGAAACAAATGAAAATTAGTGATCAATGATGGACGTTCATGCGGTAAAAAAATATCTATTATTCAATTCATATTAACATAGTTGTTGTGATGGAGACGCCATCTAGGTGCGTATTTTAACCCAAATGAATGAAGGATGAGTGTAGAATGGTGTTGGATGTGTTGTGTAGCTTTGTTACTAAGATCAGCTGTTTCATCAGCCAGGGACGTTTATTTAAGGCCCAATGATCAGAGACAGCTGGGTCCAGTTTGGAACAATCAAAAAGCTACCGACTTGACTCAGGATCGAACAGGGGAACCTTTGATTTTTAGACGTTTATTCGTCTAACAGGGGTCTCAATTGTAAAATTTATATTACTGGTTAAATAATTACGACCTATCTACTACAACGTGATCCCTGTCCCCTGTAAACAAATCAGCTGTAAGTCCAACATAAAATTATTGATTCTCAATCGTACACATCGTCTGGTATTCCATAAGAACAAAGTTTGTTGTTCAGTTATATTTTAACACAACAACAGTTAATTATGTGTTAAGCCTAAGAATAGTATGTGGGAGGTCCTACTAGTAGTTATGAATGCAAATATGTCTGTTCAAGTGATTAAGAGCGTGTAGTGGAACTAAACATAGTCAGCATTAAAGTGTCATGCTGCATTGCCATCATGCCGCCATACAGCGATGCCATGCCATCATGCCACCATACAGCCATGCCATGCCATCATGCCACCATACAGCCATGCCATGCCATCATGCCACCATACAGCCATGCCATCATTGCCATCATGCCACCATACAGCCATGCCATGCCATCATGCCACCATACAGCCATGCCATCATTGCCATCATGCCACCATACAGCGATGCCATGCCATCATGCCACCATACAGCCATGCCATGCCATCATGCCACCATACAGCCATGCCATGCCATCATGCCACCATACAGCCATGCCATCATTGCCATCATGCCACCATACAGCCATGCCATGCCATCATGCCACCATACAGCCATGCCATCATGCCACCATACAGCCATGCCATCATGCCACCATACAGCCATGCCATCATGCCACCATACAGCCATGCCATCATGCCACCATACAGCCATGCCATCATTCCATCATGCCGCCATACAGCCATGCCGTCATGCTTTCATGTAGTAATGTTGGAGGGAGGTAGTGTGATGTGTACGTATAAATAAATGTATAAATAAATGTATTTAAGTAAAGTAACTACAAACACGATACTAAAAAAATACTCTTTTCTACTGTATATATTGCATATAATTCGAATGGATCAACCTGAGGAAATGCAAATGGAGATTTAAAATAGAGAGCGCAGTTTGTTTAATGTTTGATTATTATTATTATTATTCAATCAACTAAAACTAATTGGCTAGTTTTCCTATCATGATTTTAAATCTAGGGTTTTTTGTAGTTTGTATTTCATATTATTTAACAACAAACGAGCATCTCATAATACTAAAAACATGTTTTATTTCAAATAACTTAAAAATCATACCAATATACGTTTTTAAACTATGTCGTCGAGTATGATTCATCACGCTATCAGAAAAATGAATTTCTTCGAGGAATCAATGCAATTATATATATAAAATGTTAACGAAATTAACAATTTTTTATTTAAAATTATAAAAAAATGGGAGAACAATGAGGTGCCGCTGAGGCGAAATTCACCTTCGGGGGAGTGTAACACCGTGTGTACTCCCAGCGATGGTTACGGGATGTTAGTATGGCGGTGATCGTAATCACCACCGTCACCTAGCGGCTTCGGTCCTCCCTTATCAGCTGTAGTTCCGCTCCGGTATATATGCCGCGGCGAGTACACAACTTTCCTGCGAGAACCAACTACTTCAAAACGTTCTACAAGTGGCGTTTGGTTAGTTAGAGTGTTGAAATTTTGATATTATCTTCATATATGTTCGTTTAATCAAGATTTGTAGAAAAAAATCGTAACGTTGTTAAATTTAAGTTTTATGCTATTTTTTGTACAAATTCTATTATTAAGGCGAAAAAGTAACAGTGTAACCATTGGAGGTTTAGGAACTTTGTGTTTTAGAGATAACAAAGACAAAATTATTATTATTTTTTTTATAAAAATAGGAAAAAATATTAATCACATATTTTAAATTAGTATATGGCCATAGAAAGGAGACCAATTAAAAAAAAAAATACTAAACGTCCTTTATATTATAAATGACTTCAAAATATAAACGTACCTAATTTTTACAATTAATTTTGTATGGCATACGGTGTGGCCCATGAATGGTGTGGCGTGATCGAGCGCTGCAGTTTGCTGCTACCTAGCGGCGACCTTGCGAACTACTTGGGCAAGGACGATCAGCTGATGTCGGTAGTGCAGATCAATGCTGCAATACTATGGACTATTCACTACAAACTAATGAGTTTATGGAACTTAGTCTGCTTAATAATTATAATTAGTATGTTATTTGTAGTCTTATAGTATTAATTCATTGTCAATGCTCAAATTATTGTCAATACTGTATCTTTTAACATTGCAATAAAATTTATGTTATGAGTAAACATTTTTATCCAAGCATGATCCCATGCCAAATATGCAGCCAGCCTGGGTACTCAGTGTTATAGATAATCTTCTACTTTCCGCCAAACGAGTAAGAAAATCTTATAACCACCGTGCTTAGGAAACCCCTCAAATTTAAAGTAGGCCTACATCGGGGCAAGGCCCACGATTTCACGTTTGAGACTAAGATAAACGCATCGATTATAATAAATATTTTTAAGAATAGTAAATGTGCAATTTTCTATAGAGCCAGACACGTTAAAATAATTTAAAATATCTTTTACGAGAGGATCTAAAATCGGTCACAAAACTGTTATTTTATATTCTATGTCAAAAACATTAAAATATTTATATTTGAATGTTTGGTGATTAAATTTAATCAATTATTCCATTGACCATAATTATATAACACATAAAAAGCATAAAATATAAGTTTAACTCCTTCTTCGATATCCCCACGTGATTCATTTGTGTAGTAATCTTTAAGTTCAGTTCAGACCCACCCGCTTTGACTATTAAATATATTCTCACATACTCTGTATCATTCTGTTACAAAGAACAACAAATACGAAATTATAATATTTAGTTCATATGCAGTTCTGGTACTGTTTTAGCGTCAGAGTCATCCCTGTCCTGATGCGTGGGCTAAAAATATTGAGGCATTTGGTTTCAATAATCCTTTGAGAATGGCTCCACTTGGCTGGAGGGAAAACAAAAATAACGCGGCGTGATTAATAGATAATGAAACGGTGACCAATAAAAGTTATATTTTACAGTTTTAGCTGCAGTACATGGGACGTCAATTTGGATTAGTAAATCTAATTTAAATTAGTAAATATAATTCCATAATGCTAACCATGTCTCCATCCAACAATAGACCATGATGCACTAATCTTTTGAAATTATTTTATTATTTGTACCCAGTATTATTTTAGGTGTCAATTTGTCAGCGGTTATTTAGATGAAAGTGCTAAATGGCAGAAGATTAACTCGAAAATCATTCAGGGGTTTGGTGAAACCATTTTATACACGGAAAAATATAGTTACGCGTATTCAATTTAGTAAAACATACAATGTGGTAACATGATGAAAAACACAAATGAATTCGGATAGTTACAAGTTTTCCATTCCGAAAAGGGTTTGTATCGGAATTATCTCATCTGAAAAATTCTCAAATGATATCTTCAACTCCTGTTTATTCAAATTCTCAAATGATATCTTCAACTCCTGTTTATTCTTCTTTATCCTAGGGACGATAATAATTAATTACTTTAGCCCAGCAACTCAAACAAACTTAACCAAGACCAAAAAACTCCTAATATAAATAAACTTCAGACGATTCAATTAGATGAAAATGTGACTTGCGACACCCATTTGGTATATATCTAAAACCAAAACAACGAATTGTAAAATCTAACACTAATAGAATCTTCCAGATTCCTACGTGAGGCAATTTCACAACTTGCCCTTGACTTTTTAGCTCCATTCACGGGTTTTTTCACCGCGGATATGCCGAGGATGTTTTGTAGCTAACAATAACATCGGGTGTTTTGTACCTATTGTTGCTCGCGGCGCGGCAGAGAATGTTTACAAAACAGGTTTAGGCTACATTAGCCAGAGATGCGTCTAGAAACATAGCTGGGTTGAAAGGTGAAGAGAATTGTAGGTACTTTGGTATTATACCGAACACACCTAAATTGGGTTACGTTACTAAACATAGGTTAGGTTAGGATAAGATAACCGGAAGATAACCTATATCTAAACCTATCCTATCCTATCCTAACCTAACCTAACCTAACCTAACCTAACCTATCCTAACCTAACCTAATCTAAATTGGGTTATGTTACCACACCTAGGTTAGGTTAGGTTAGGATAAGATAACAGGAAGATAACCTATATCTAACCTATCCTAACCTAACCTAACCTAACCTAACCTAACCTAACCTAACCTAACCTAACCTAACCTAACCTAACCTAACCTAAGGGTAACCAATTGTGTGGGCTGTATAAAATACCGAAATTTTTATTTGACTGAAAATACGTACTGGTTTATGGGTAGTAGATATAATTAGATTCATACAAAGTCAACACAAGGAAGTGTAGGAATTATGTTAAGGTTATTACAGGATGAGGGGATAGATTTGTTTCTGAAAAGGATCTGCTGATGTATAGTCATGATCAGTCGGATTATCAAGGTATATTTTCGACAATTAGCTTGGTCTATTTTCGAACTAACAAAGTTTACTTATATCAGATTTGAACCGGTGACCTTCCCACCACAAGGCGAACACTACATATACTTAGATTACCAGCTGCATAAACTTATTTACCAAAGGGATTAGATTTGCATTATGTATACTTCTCATCCTATTTCAAAATCAAAACCCATTTTTATATGCGTTTTATTGCGTTTGATTTTAACGTTTGAGGTCAACTAAATCTTCGTGTGTTATTTTAGGGTCTATTTTTTCATTTTTTTTTACCTTTTTTACCGAATTAAAGGAGAATCAATAGTTTGTAAACATTAGTTTATTTTATTTTGATCAGGTAATTTTAAAATAACCGTAAAACGCCCTCTAATGAATGGGTCAGTGTGCCTTAAAATTATCTTTAGTCAATCTATAACAAAATTTGGGTTATTAAGAAGTATATTTAGTCAATGATGAAGGTTAAATTATATTTTTATAAGTTTCCAAAAAAATCTTGGAAATACAACACGAAAAACGTTCAAAGTCAAATGTAAGACATTCAAATAATGACCAGAAACTCTAGACAAATCAAAATTCATAAACAGCACAATATTTTTGGTTTAGTAAAATATTTGTTTCTTTTCACAAAATATGATTTTTTCAATTACAAACCTACCTGAATTAGTACTTAAACTTTGAAAGCGGGATTAAATTACACTATTCTCAAAAACAAACACACACTAAATGAAGCAAAAACATGTGCACATTTGGTACTTCATTTCATTTACCTGTATTTTCAAGCATATTTCAGTGTTATAAACAGACCGAACAAAATTAAAATTCACTTAGTAACAATCATAAAAGGATATACTGTAGTGTATAATTTATTACTGCATACTATAAATAGCATAATTGAAACAAAACTGCAAAAATGCAGTGAAAGAATTACAAAAATCTTTAACAATTACCATAAACGAGTTACACTGTAAAGAGGTTAGATTTCCCACAGCCTTCTAAACGGACAATTTCCACAACAATGCCTCCTTAATTCCCATCCGGTGTTGACATTTTCTCAAAACAGCTGACGAGCTGAGACGAATCCCGCCCTCAGCGGCGAAGTTAAACTGTCAAAAGATTAAAGAACCGCTGATTGCCGAAAATAATTGGAAATTTAGGTTACCAATTCAAAACTCCGACATTAAGTAATTTAGCCATAAATTCCACCTTTGATCCCACAATGAAACTTTGATGCTGGACAACAGTTGCTAAGGATTGGGACAAAATTGCACGAGTTGGTCAACTTGTTTCCATTAATAATGTTACTTGAACAACACTTTTCGTTGTCGAATTTATGACACGCCCCTGGTATGGACAATGGACACTTTAATTCTCAGTACTTTGGGAACAT